GTCAACCTTGAGTTCCGTTCTTTTTTATGTGTTTACGTTAAGGTTTCATTTTTATCTTTTTCTTCGTTTAAAAAGTGTATATCAACGTTTTCCATTTAACAGCTTATGCTTTTAACAAAAGTGCAAGCAGGAGATAGGTACCCATGAGGTAACGCACGCTACAGTATAGGTGTCCAACACATAAACCCCCTACTAACTGCTGAATAGTGTCCACCTACCTGAGTCTACACTTTTGGGTATTCGATGAGGTCTCTCGGGAATAAAATGGGCAGCAAAAGTCGTCACCTTAGAAAGTCAAAAGAACATTGACAATGCTATTGTGTTATGGAAATATCAGTTTGAATTTCTGATAATATGTAGATGTTTCTGATTGAGTTTAATAATATCTGAGTGTGTGTCTTAATAACTTCATCTACAATGTAAGTGTATTGACAAATAGGTTGTTTTCTATGTTTAACTTCCTGACTGATAGGTGCTTCCGTTCTTCATATTTGAAGGGTGGTCGAGTGGTGCAATGGATAGCGCACTTGCCTTTCACTAAGGCGGCCGGGGTTCGATTCCCCGATCGGACGTGAAAAGGTTGGGGTCACCTGCCCGACAAAGTGGGTTTTCTCCGGGTATTCCGGTTTCCTCCCACACTAAGACCTCCCACGCGCTAACACCCGGGCCACCAAGAGTGATTAATATAAGTTGAAATAACTTGTTTCATAATTGTTGTAAAATAAATAAAGTTGATATTTTCTTCATATTTCTAATGATTATCTTACGCATACAGGTGACTAAATAGACACTGCTGGTAGACTATCAGTCTACGAGGTCGGTCGTAATCTTGGTGCTGGAGGTAATTCTGACGAGGTGAACATGGAATACTAGTTGAAGTATATAATAGTTTTTAATACCTTTTGTTTATGTATGTTCCAAAAAGCTGTTTAATGAGTGTGTCATTCATAAAATTATATTTTCAATCTGCATTTACATATAAATTGTTCAAATACGTTGTTCCATTCTCTGTGTTACTATGGTTTTGGTGATTATACATCAGTGTGTGATTCGTAATCGTTAAATCTGAATATTACTCTTTTCTGTGGTAAATAACGACTTGTCAACAAACATCTTAGTGATAATCTGAGACAATGTTGATAGCAGACTTACCGACTTTCCTGGTTCCCCCTTGTCACCCTTCACACCTACAGAACACAAGGTTTGCGCATTAGTATTTAGTGTTTTTATTCCAAATGTAATGATTTTCAGTGAATGTATGTCCAGTGTATTTAACAGGTGTATTGATTATCATTGTATCATTCTCAGTGTATTAATTTCCAGTGTATAAGCATTCAGTTTATGGATAGCCAGTGTATTGGTATTCGGTCGACTCGTATACTGTATATAGTGTATTGATCGTCAGTGTCATGATATATACATTATATAGCCAGCGTTTTGGTATATTGTATTGATAGCCAATGTCATGATATATCCATTGTATTGGTAGCCAGTGTTTTGGCATATAAATGTTATTGGTAGCCAGTGTTTTGGTATATATTGTATAGGTAGCCAGTGTTTTGGTATATAATGTATTGGTAGCCAGTGTTTTGGTATATATTGTATTGTTAGCCAGTGTTTTGGTAGATATTGTATTGATAGCCATTGTCATGATATATCCATTGTATTGGTAGCCAGTGTTTTGGTATATATTGTATTGATAGCCATTGTCATGATATATATATTGTATTGTTAGCCAGTGTTTTGGTATATATTGTTTTGATAGCCAATGTCATGATATATCCATTGTATTGGTAGCCAGTGTTTTGGCATATAAATGTTATTGGTAGCCAGTGTTTTGGTATATATTGTATTGGTACCCAGTGTTTTGGTATATATTGTATTGGTAGCCAGTGTATTTGTATATATTGTATTCGTAGACAATGTTTTGGTATACATTGTATTAACATACAACGTTTTGATATATATTGCAATGAAAGACAGTGGTTTGATATATATTATATTGACATTTGTTTATCCGTATAAAGTTAATTGATATCAAATATTTACTGGTAGATATTATATTTATATTAACATAAATCTTAACAGTCCAAATCTATTGAATTGGAGTAAGGGAAAAATCGTTTGCTTACAGTATAATCCTAAATAATGAGAATCAAATATTGCTACATAAATAATGAAATGTATTTTAACGGTAAATTTATATTGGCTAATGATTTTTACGAACTAATATACTTTTTCACAAACAACGTCAGACAAAATATAAAATAAGCAATGCGTTTCTATGTATTCCAAGTGGGTTTATTAAGCAGACAGGGGGCTGATTAGTACGTGTATGGGGCTGTTTAGTACGTGTATGGGGGCTGTTTAGTACGTGTATGGGGGCTGTTTAGGACGTGTATGGGGGCTGTTTAGTACGTGTATGGGACTGGTTAGTACGTGTATGGGGGCTGTTTAGTACGTGTATGGGCCTGTTTAGTACGTGTATGGGGCTGTTTAGTACGGGTATGGGGGCTGTTTAGTACGTGTATGGGACTGTTTAGTACGGGTATGGGGGCTGTTTAGTACGTGTATGGGACTGTTTAGTTCGTGTATGGGGCTGTTTAGTACGTGTATGGGGCTGTTTAGTACGTGTATTGGGGCTGTTTAGTACGTGTATGGGGGCTGTTTAGTGCGTGTATGGGGGCTGTTTAGTACGTGTATGGGACTGGTTAGTACGTGTATGGGGGCTGTTTAGTACGTGTGTGGGGGCTGTTTAGTACGTGTATGGGACTGTTTAGTTCGTGTATGGGGCTGTTTAGTACGTGTATGGGGGCTGTTTAGTTCGTGTATGGGGGCTGTTTAGTACGTGTATGGGACTGTTTAGTTCGTGTATGGGGCTGTTTAGTACGTGTATGGGGGCTGTTTAGGACGTGTATGGGGGCTGTTTAGTACGTGTGTGGGGGCTGTTTAGTACGTGTATGGGACTGTTTAGTACGTGTATGGGGCTGTTTAGTACGTGTATATAAATGATAAAGCAAAGTGCATTTCCCTACACTTGAGACACATATTTAACTTTATTTGAATAAAGTCAGTGACCCCTTAATACAACATTGATCAAAAGGTTCTCTACACTTTTCAGACGGTTTCGATATATATAAATAAATGTAGTTGGGTAGAGTCATATGCTTTACGTGTTCATATCGATCGTCCATGACTATACGGTTGTATGTGAGAACAATAATCAATAATGCCTTATATCAGTAGTATTGGTTTCATTATTCATAACTTCTGCATACAAAATATCCAATTGTCGAATTTATTAATGTAAATTTGTAATTTATCTAATTTATTCATATTTCAAAATTCTCCCTAATTAACTTAGTGTATCGTTTAATATAAATCTATATATCTAGTTTGATATGAATACATATCCATACATATGCTAAAATATGACACTGAAGAAGTGTATAATTTGAGAATAATTGGGGAGAAGGACGTAGAAATGTAATATAAATGCATCGTATATTTAGTAACTAACAAGGACACAAAGGCTGGTAATCCTTTTGTGATAAACTGCTGTCTTTTATATTGCAACCAACGATCCTGTTTTAACTGTAATGCCAATATAATGAAACATTTTATTATTTACTCTAACATACAATAACTAGTGCATAAATAGGAACATTTAGATTTGTCAGTACCGTTACATACCTAAAATGTTTAAGCAGCATTAACAATATGCGCACTTACCCGGAAGTCCAAGGTTCCCTGGCGGTCCATGTGTGCCAGGTAATCCTATTGTTCCTGGTTGACCTGGGCTACCAGGTGGGCCTGGTGGTCCTGTCGGCCCTCCGGGTGGACCTTTCGGACCCCTTGGACCTCTTGGGCCCCTACCACCTTTTCGACACTTCTTTGGGCATCTGGATCGTTTACCTGTGAATCATGTTAAAATGCGACAGATCAATAACTATAACTAATTAATATACCAAACAATAGCATGTATGAAAAATGTATGCTATCAATACAATGTTTACCAAAAACACTGGATATCAATACCATGTATACCAAAACGCTAGCAATCAATACAATACAGTGTATACAAAACACTAGCTACCAATACCATGTATACCAAAACGCTAGCTATCAATACAATACATTGTATACAAAAACACTAGCTAACAATACAATACAGTGTATACAAAAACGCTATCTATCAATACAATACAGTGTATACAAAAACACTAGCTAACACTACAATACAGTGTATACAAAAACACTAGCTACCAAGACAATACAGTGTATACAAAAACACTAGCTAACAATACAATACAGTGTATACAAAACACTAGCTACCAATCCCATGTATACCAAAACGCTAGCTACCAATACAATACAGTGTATACAAAACACTGGCTACCAATACCATGTATACCAAACCGCTAGCTATCAATACAATACAGTGTATACAAAAACACTAGCTATTAATACCATGTATATCAAAACACAGGAGTATATGTAGCAATACCAGATATACCAAAACATTGGCTGTCAACACACTGTTTACCAAAACATTGGCCATCAATACAATGTATGCGTGTAGACCCTCATCATTAATTACATGAAATAGTATTTTCATCGTCTTAAAGAATAAAGTCGTAAGTGGAAACTAGGCCAGCTTAAGTTATGTGCACTAATGCAATTATAGACCCTCATCATTAATTACATGAAATAGTATTTACATCGTCTTAAAGAATAAAGTCGTAAGTGGAAGCTAGGCCAGCTTAAGTTATGTGCACTAATGCAATTATATATTAATTTCCCTATTGGAGTCACAACGTTATTTTTTTATTTTAAGGAAAAGCCCTTTTTGTTAATCACGACTCTACGTGTATGACCACTTAGTGCATGTACATATTAGATAAATGAGTCTGTATTTAATGTTACACGCGTGACGGTTACATGCAGTGATGTAAAAGGTTAGTAGCCTTATATACCCGATTTCTTTTTCCTTTTACCAGGATCAGCGGCCCTTGCAATGCGATGAAGATTGTTTTTTTCATTTAATGATTGGTCAACGTTGTCAGATGCTCCAACATCCAACAAAACAGGTGCGTCGATATCTTGCAAGAATCCATCTTCCCTCTATTTGCAAAACACACAAAGAATAAATCCTTACGCCAAGTATTATGTAAAAACACTCACCGCCAAAATAACAAACATTAAAAACTCTTTTTTTTCGTGGAAACCTTTGCACCATTTTTTTTATCTTTAAGATGAGTTACCGAGAATACAGATGCTAAATACTTGAAAACGAGCCATTATCAGATAACGACTCTCAAGATTAGATGTGTAAATCAACAATAAAATTACTTAAATGTGTTGATGCTACCGTCTCGGAAATTATTTGCACAATCTATTTTAAACCAGTCATATCCATAAACCTATTCAACATGACTTTATAATATATATAATCAATTTATAAGTATGCATCATACACATTTGTCCTTTCGCTTTGTAAGATATACGAAAGTAAAGCTTAGCCTGCCATGTTTGTTTACCTTTTGTGCAGGTACACTCATTCGCCCTTCTTCCTGTTTGCATGTTTCTTGATACTGTTTTAGGATGGCGATTTCCCGCGCTGACCATAACATATATATACATACCACCCCGTAAAAAGTACACCTGGCCAGGCATAGAGGCCAACAACCTGTATGTTGATCTGCCTCTATGCAAGGCCCATGGTGATTTCCGTCAAAAACAACTTTCGTTTTCATTTTTCTTCTGTTGTCGATAAAATCAGGGTCCAGACTCCAGCCAAATCCGACGTAGTTGATAGGGGGTATGTACTTCCGGTAATATTCGGCGATAAGAGTGACCGGCTGGTAACAGACCTCGAGTACGACTGGTGTACTTCAGACAGTACCTGACAATGTAGTCTGTGATTCGAAGAATGACCTAGTAGTTCTCAGTAACAAGGTCAAACTGCAACTGAGACAACACGCCGTCCTTAATGTTCACATTCACGGAGCTTAATATGTCACCGCACCACGCCAAATCGATGCTTATAACTGTGGTCTCATTCTGTCTAATTAGGTGTATCAAAAATACAGATAACACGAACTATATTGTGGTTGTGAGATATGTTTATGTAATACATGTTACGGTAACCAGTAATATAGCTGTAAACGAAGGTAAACCGACGTCCTTATTTAACGGATCCTAATAGATATTTAGAATAAACAAAAAACAAGTCTCCAATAAATTCAATGGTTATTTAGTTTAAATTGTGAATAATTTATTTACGTGATTATACCTCATTAAACAACTAAATGCGTGTGATGACTACATAATGATTTGAAATGTTCAGTAACAACCTGTATGAGTGCTACAGGTCTACAATACCTACAAAAGTGCTAGTTTCGTTTTACAGTTAGGTCGTTAGGTTACTAACAAGATACTTCCTCGTCCGGGTGAAATGCTATTTAGGTGTAACTTCCAAATATTAGGGTTATTGTGTGACAAAAGGATTCTTGGTATACCGATATTTTTGTGGCATTTGATATCGTTAATTCAGCAGAAATTTACACTTGACCAACTGTAAAAGTAAGATCAAATATATATATATTTATTAGACAACAATACATTATCATTATTAAGAAACAAAATATGAAAATATAGCACTAGGGAGGCAATTATGAACATATGTTGTTTTTATTAATACAGTTTATAATATCTGTCAAAAATCTACATTGATTTTACTTTATATAGTACATAAGGTTTGGGATATATATGTGTAAAAAAAGAGGTATTTTATATATGGATTACTATATTGTAAAAATATCTAAAAACCACGATTTATTTCAAAGTATTTTAATACACTGAAGCCATAACGAATATTGTATCTTGTCTGGACTGTGGTATAAAACAAATTTCAGATAACAGGATAGTAAATGTGAACTCATTAACAAGTGGAGCGATCATCTCTCTCTCATGGTTTCTTACTCGAAACTAATGCATGAGCGTATAGCCCTGATTTTCAATATATATTAACTTCAATTAAATGTGCTAATTAAGGATGTGCTTGCATCTCTTCTGCAGAATCTTAAGCGTTCAAACGTGCATTATATTCTAGTGACAGTACAAAGTTGCTCGAACCAGCAATGACTGCTTTCCGGAAAGAGCAAATGCAAGAGTCAACACTAAAATATTATCTGAAAGAGCAAAATAATAGAAACAACGTTAACAGAGAGCAATAATCTCGAATAACTACAGGCACTATTAGGAAAGGGTAAACAATACGACTTAGCACTGACAACTTTCAGGAAGGGTAAACTGCTCGAATCAAAGCTGATCTCTTTTTATGTAGTATATCGTTTAGGTCAAATCGTATCTATCAGCATTTGCAATTTTATATTAAGTTCCAAACTTAAAACAAGTAATACTTTAACCAATTTAATGTCACCTTAATATGACTACTGTTTCTACCACAGATTAACTGCTGTTTGTAAATAATAAAGTTTTTGATCTAATTCAATTCGAGTATATAATTCGACATTCCTTGGCAGTTTTGAAATAATAAACAACATAATATAAATTTTCATATAATTATAACACAATTTTTTATTGCTAAAACACATATGAAACACAATTGACATAACACATATATCCACATATATATATATGTTCCATGACATTCATATCTGTAGCTGGAGATATTTATCATTGTTTGTAGGTATACGTATTCGACAGATGAACTAAAACAACAGTCATCATAACCATCATCGCTGCTGTAACCATCATTCTCGCTGTGACCATCATCCCTGCTGTAACCATCATTCTCGCTGTGACCATCATCCTTGCTGTAACCATCATTCTCGCTGTAACCATCATCCCTGCTGTAACCATCATTCTAGCTGTGACCATTATTCCTGCTGTAACCTTTCGTCCCCTCCCCCTAACTTGTCCGATCTTATACATATTGAAGTTGGGGCAAACACTGAAGTAAGAGTGTCATACTTTGAAATCATTTTCCCTGTTATGTCATTATTATGAGTAATATCTTAAATTTTACATTATCATATGTATAAAAACTTGCAAGTAACTACACTTTTGATATTGATCATATGTACACTTCTAACCAACAAAACTGATATCACGGAGTTGCGGGCGCGTATTATAATGGATAGCGCCAAAGTTAGTGCTGTCCGGTCCAAGAGACAGTGTAGTCCTTGCCTGTAGAACCCTTGACGTCACTACAGCGCCATCCTCCAAGTAGAAAAGACCCATGACACTGCACGTGCGTGTCTTCGAGTACAGGAACCTGTCGTCCGTCTGCCGGACATAGTCCAGTCCTTGTCGACATCGTAATAGGCGTGTCTGGTCACTGTACACTTCGATGTCATGTTTGTCCTCTGTAGTTCGGATTATCACCTAGACGGTTACAAACATAAGTGAACCCAGTGCTATCTAACAGATTATGTTTAGTGGTTCTAATTTGAATACTCTGTATGTTTTATTACATTTTGCTTTCTTGTTATCACTCACAGGGGAATGTTGATTCCCATCTTTGTTATACCCTTTGTCATAAATGATATCTGAAGATATGCGTTATATGCAGCATACCGCATTCAGACTAACTTATCAAATTTCAATGTCTACGTTAATATGTAAACCTAAAATGTACTAGTTAAACTGATCTTGAGTGGACTATTTAACTTCTGCTGATCATCTTTTTACCAGCTAAAATTCAAATTGTAATAGAGGGATGTAATGCGAGCGTTTTATGACGTAAACAATTTACTCCAATTACACATATAAAACCTATAAAGAGGCGATATTTAAGAGCTCAACTCACGTTAATATAGATGAGGTAAAGACCCCCACTTTGCACGGTAAACATGCCAGGCGTTGATTGGACAAGAGCCGGCTGGATACCACCATCTCCTTGCTTAGTCCATTCAGCACCAACGAAGAATTTCATAACTTGCGCCGTGTCTGAAACAAACAAACATCTTAATTTTCGATGCGCTCAACTAGTTTACATACGTATGCAGTGTAGGTTGATCCTTTGTACCAATTACGATTTCATGCAAAAACATGTATATATAATGTTATATCTGATGTAAGTATATTTCGCATGTATATCAGTACATAATGTCAAAACAAATTTGTTATTTATAATTTAAATCATTTTATTATATCGGACATGTGTGAAAAAGTGTGATGCCTGATTATAACAATCGTTAGTATTTTCTTTATTTATAGGAAATTGTGATATTCATAGCAAACAATATTTTGATATTATTGTATGAAATGTCACCCATGTTGTTATCATTTAACACGAGGAAGCGTTCATTTTGATATGACTTGGATGTTGTGGTGTATGGATAATGATTGGAGACACAATATGTTTAAGCTTTTCCAGATGCTACTGTATCACGTACGGTTACTCCAGAAAGTCCCGTTTCTACAGAACATGCCGTCCCACTTCGGTATGCAAGTCGCTGGAAAACAAACAAGAGGTAAAGCTAACACTATTTCACTTTGATGATGTGTCGGCATGATCCTGCATTGACAAAAAGCAAAATACTAGCTAATTACTTTGGTTTTTTTTTCTTTTTTTCTACTGATTTGTCAATGGTTTTGGTGACATTAATTGATAAGGATGTATAGCAAGTGAAGATTGATGAAAAAACAGCAAGAAATACCTAAGTATTGATTTTACCTTTCTCTGGTCGATGTTATTTTGATTGACTGTCACCTGAAGTTATTACGATAACATTAACGGGGTTCTGATCTAAATAATAAGGAGCATACCGTCTGAATACTGAAAGTCCACGGATCCATCGCTGTTAGCCACGAAATGAGAGGCGCGCGTAGAGACCTAAAGCATTGAAAATATAATTACACATATGTGATACTACAAATTGTCGAACTATGCCCTAATTTTAACTCGCACCACAAACTGTGTGACTGACCAATTATCACTTCATTAACGGATAAAAAATTAGGTTGTAAATTAGATTTTGTACAACGGGATACTCATGGATATGCGAGTTATACAGGTTGATTAATTGTATAGATGTCATTAGATTTCATTGTGTTTTCTTTTATTTGTCAAGTTTTTCAATTAATTTTAGTATGAAAGAAAAATATCCGTGCAGTTTGAAATTTATCATGGCATTATTTGTATGTATTTGACCTATTAGACTTATGTTCCAACGAAAAAACCTTGTTTCATTATACCGATATATTATTATGAAAAATATATACGGCGCTACTAATTGTATCATTTGTATGAATTATGTATATTGATTGCTTAAGGTTCAACAAGCCCCCTAAAAGAGGTAATAGTCACCCTAAATTTCAACCCCATGGCAAGTCATATTCAAATATTCTTATCACAAATCGGAATATATATATGTAATTTAAATACACTGAACTTTTACATGAGCTATTAAAAAGGAATATAACCAGGTCAACGAAGTCAAAAATACGGCATTAAGGCTGATGTAATGATAAAAGTTGCTCACCAGATTTATAACATGTCAATCTCCTAAGTGACCCAACTGAATGTTTCGAAATTACATGTTATTTGAAGATCATTTATATACCTAGGTCAAGCGGGGCTTTATTTCTCTTTAACTATGTGTGGAGAGGCATACCGGCCTCACAAGTAGATGATTGTTGCTATGGGAATGTACAAAAATCATAGTAAAACGTCAGAGTAACATATTTTAACGGTATATATGTGTATAACCATAGACATTTGACCATAAATACTACTTAAACTTCATATAAAATGTCCTTCCTTAACATTCAATATTGTAATAAAAGAGCTAGACTTGTTGTAAACATTATTGTACTTTTCAGCTTCAATGTTTATAACATGTCTAGCGCATTCATATAAGCACATAATGTTATCAAATGTCACATCATCTCAAGTTCATTTATCGATCAAGGTTACTTAGCCATTGTTTTCTTATTTAAAATTTGCTAAAATGTATTACCAGGAGATTTTATTATGATTTTAGTGGTTTCGCATGGCAACATCTATCTTTATTTGTGGTCGAAATTCCTCTCAGCAGTTAGTAGAAGAGAAATAAAGCTCCGCATGACCTAGGTATATAAATAAACTTTAGATTATGAGTCATTTCCCAGCACTCAGTTGGGTTGCAAAAGAGATTGACATGTTATAAGTCCGGTGAACTATTTTTATAAAGACATCAGCCTTAATGCCTTTTTTTGACTACGTTAACCTGGCTATGTATTTTTTGTATGGCCAATGTACAAGTTCAATATATATAAATAACATATGTGAGTACCGATTTGTAATTGAGGTCTTTGAACATGACTTACCAGGGGGTTGAAATTTTAGTTGACTACGTCATCTTTTAGGGGGCTTGTTGAACCTTAATGTATCATTATAACATCTAATGAATGTATTATTATCATTTAAATATGGTTTTACCCAAATTCCTTACACTTTATATCATTAGAGTATGATGTTGATAAATATGTCATTATACCATGTACACATATGGTATAGTTCGGATCAACGTATCATACTGTCGTGTGTTACTATGGTATGGTGTTACTCACCTGATTGGATAGTGTCCTCACAGCCCGTGAACCTAAAATTATATTTACACAAATATCATATAGATGTAAAATACTTATCATAAAAGGTAGGTGTTGTTCTTTCAACTTTATACTAAGTGCTGATTGAAACTAGGCCATAGGTCGGGATGCAGATAAAAAAATTTCAAAAGAAATAAAAAAAGACCCAACTTTACTGGTTAAGAAGTGTTTTGTTGTTATTTTGATTGAGATAGCAGGCTTCCTGATACTGATACTAGGTCCGATCAGGCGATGATTTCCCGACCCCTGTAAGCTGATCTAGGTAAGGGACAATAACAGACAACACCGTATCATTGACCTACTCTACTTCCGCACTGATATCCTAATGGACTGTTTGTTGATGTGAGATTATCAAGATAATGACCGCTTTGAGATACGATTTAGCTATCAAATTTGTCTAAATTTAAAAAAGTTATAACAAAAATGTCAAACAATTCACATTTGTTTAGAATTTATCATTATCAACAAAAAGTAGCGTAAAGTTTTTTATTTATATATTTTTTCTTGTGGAGGCAAATATATCAAATTTATAATGGATTCAATCAAGTCATTGTTTATTTGGGGTTCAAAATTCTATCAAAAGTTAAACACGTCAAAATCTCGTTGCCTGCAATGTGGAATGAGATTTAATGTACGCAAGACCTGATCCCACAGACGCTTACTATATTTATCTTATGACGGCGGTTCCATAACGCAAACCAAACAATAAACGCTTTTCTCGTCATTTTCTTTTTCTCGACCATGGAGACTAAATACTTATATAATAAGCGGTGGTCAACTCTAATGTGACGGGTATCATCACATGTGGTCAGGAAATGGAAGTGAACTACCAGGATCTCCAAGTTTTAACTAACAACTGATTTTGTCTTCTTGTCACAAGAGGCTGTGCTGCTGTTCTGTTTATTAACTTGAACGAGTAGGACCAACTTAGAATAACCGTTGGTCCGATGTGGAACATAGACTGCGTAGCTGTATGTTCTGGTCATTGACTTTAGAGGTAATAGTTTTAGTCCTTTGAGAAGATTTTAATCTGCTGATCAGATTTTCTCTAGGGATAAGGTAATCTATCACCAGCTCCTGACCACGTGTTTGCGTCACATGATATTTACCTATCGCTAACTGGGGATGATACAGTATCGATGCTCTGCCGCAGCTCCATGGTGAGAAAAACATAGTTGACTTTGCGTTATTGAATTATTGAATTATGAACGTTTGCAAAGCAAAGCAACAATACACACAATGCGATAACATGTCAAAACTGTTACTTTGTTCCCTTTTAAAAACTAAAGAAATGCTGATTGAAAAGTAGGCTTCCAATTAGGGACTGTTTTGTTTGTACTTGACAACATTACGCTCTGTAAAGCATTAGAGTGATTCATATTTAATCCATTCCTTACGTTTTTTATGGGGCCGTCGTTTCACTACGCTAGGTGTGGAGACTGCATCATCCCTTGACATCAAGTCTTCGTTTATCTGTAAAACAGACGCATCGATTTGAAAACGGAGAAATTGATACAATAAATAGCTTAATTGTTTTACAACTTTTTTTAATAACTAATACATACTCAAACACTACTGTGTGCAGTTAGTATCCTGGAACCCTGAATTACATTTGGTATAGACTTTTCTGAAGACTAACCAATTTTCGATATTTTATTATAAGTTTAAGGAACAACAACGGCCTGTTTCATATGTAGCAATGATCCAGTTCCCTTACCTTTTCTCCCTCAGTGGATGATCTTTGTGTGGGTATTATGACGTCATCATGATTTGTTCTAGGAGTAGGTATGACGTCTTGATGCAACAAACATTTCCCAGCGATCACCTCCAGCTTATATCTGGTAAAGACCTCCATTATAAAACAGCAAATAACAAGAAAGCTCCCAAGACTCACGAATGACCACAGGGCGGTTCTTTCCATCCGACTAATACTAACAGTTCGACGACCAGCATTGTGACCTTTTCTGGATTCGGACACCAGTCCACACATGCACTGACCAACGTTTGGTGACGCTATCATAGAAACAGGTTCAACTTTCAAAGTTGACATAGTGTTAAACATCAGCTGTCCCCAAAAGATTTGTCCTGCGGTGTTTCATAGATATAGTGTCCTACCAGTGTAAAACATTGTTATGATGGCTTGATCAAGTTAATTACATATTTACATACCTGTCGATTAGCCGGGGGAGTCCCTTATCGACCTGTATATCTACAGTATTGCCCTGCTGTATCGGTCTCATCACTGCTGTCTAGATAGCATTGTTTGTGAGGTTTAGATTTGTTAAGAGCTTTAAAAGCTTAACAGTATTGCATTTATTGACGTCAAATTTTAAAACTCAATTCTATCGATATAACACAAAAACGTCAAATACGTTTCTATTTTCTGAATCCAAAAACACGTAGATTTACCTATGGTCGTCCAAAGTTTCGAATAAATAATGTTAACGTAATTATTGCTAAGCTAACCACATTATCCTATGTGTCCAGGTCATCGGTCCACTATTGCATCATATATGCATGCACTTGTCCGAACATATTTCCAAGAAAATTTAACACATTCCCGTAACTTAAGCCACTGACTTCCTGATTGATTGGCTGACTGATAAACTAATATTCATTATTATGAAATGCGTTGCCTTCCTGTGGCAGGCATTTATTTTCCTAGAGAATTCCAACCAGTTCAACAACAACTGTTATAAAGTGCATTTGATGACGTTCTGGGCGTGATATATCAATTAATGATAGACATTAAATAGGCGTAAGAACGCAAGCATTGATAACAGGTGGATATGAATTATTATACATGGATGGTAAATAAGATCCTGAAATTGTTATTCCTAGCGCACATATCACAGGTGTTGAGTGTAAGTTAGTACATGCCATTAACATAGTTAGCTACCGTAAATCCTAGCTAATCATGATCACATTTTACACAGACGCATGAAACGCTGTATGACAGAAAAAGGAAGATGTAGAAAAAACAGAAATGCAATGACGAGGGTCTATAGTAAGTAATGCACCTTGAGGTACACAACGATCAATGTCGGCTAGTTACTTCGCTGCTCGCACAAACCGTACAGAAGTACTGTCCAGATAGGGAAGCACGATGCAATAACGACTAAAACTAACTCCTGGCTATCCGAACGCTTAAATGGCCAAGACAATGAAATGGTTCTACCGAGCTGTTCGTACGATAAACAGAAAGATATCCAAAATTCATTTATTTCTTCTTTTTAAAAAAATCAACCAACAAAACAAACATCGGTGGTCGAGAAATTATACAGCTCACAATAACAACTCAAGACGAAGATCGAAAGATTACATTTACATTTATGTACGACCAGCTCTCAATCCATACCAAGGGAGTTACGTTTCCTCTGTATCAACTGAAGCAAAGTATAATACGTGCATAATACAGCTCATACTAACAACTCAAGAAAAGGAGCGACAGGTCACATGTACGACTAGCCCGTTATCCAGGTCAACAGAGTTGGATCCCACTTTTCATATGTCTACTGAAGAAATATACAGAACTGTTTCATTTGATAATCAAATTTATGATTCCATAAAAAGGTAGGAAACGTGCATCAAAAGCGATATACAATTGTATAATGACATGCAAATCTGTATGTAGGGAAGACAAAATCGCAACAATCAAGAAAGGTAAAGTTCACGATAGGAAAGTCGGAGTCATTCCGTTTATTGCACAGCCTCCTGACCATGTTTAAGGCAAAGATCCAGAAAAGCGTCTAAGTAAAAGTCCGTCCGTAGTGTCCTTGATTTCATGCTAAGGAGGCTATTTGTGATCAATGTGGTCAATACAGTGTTTCGGTATTTATCGACAGATCATCGTCTGTATCTGGATGTGAAATTGAAGGACTTGGTTACCAACAGAGGATAAGTAGGTCCCTATACATATATGCCTACAGTCTGCTGGAAAATCTCGAACCTAGCTTAACACAGATAATGTCACGGTTGAATCAGTATTCAAGGGCTTGCTCCTTATGACTTTCATGGTAGATTTCGACTGTCGACTCCTGAACCACAGGATTTCCAAGTATAGGTTGATGCAAACAACGGACATATTTTATGAACGCAACATGATGTCAAAGGGTTTATGCTAATAATTCGTGATATGAAGGTCGATATTTTTTATTATGCACATTAGTGTGCCACGTTATATTTTGGTCGCTGACCCAGTGCTCGCTATGAAGACGTGACATTACTTGAATTTTGACTTAAATTTACAATGGGGATGTAATAGATGAAGCAGAAGACACCTGCCCTTCCGGAACACCTGGTCGTATTCTCCTACTAGTTTTTAAGATGTCTCCGTGAACATATTTTCTTTGTTCACATTTTCGAATTCGATTTGTGGTTTTTTTGACACATTGGTATTTTTTTCGGTATGTGCCCCGTGCAATCCAGGAAAGGAACCAAGATTTACCCGTACTTCCTCTTGTGGTCTTAATTGTTCTCTTTGTCTACTATTCTGATGCTGAGTTCATGTCATGACATATGGATCTATAGAATCGCTCCTTAATACTGAAGTATCTTATTCTATTTTGCCACAAAACATAAATGACACTCGGGTCTGAATGTGACTTAATGATATAAAGGGTGTTTGTTTCACAAAGACGACGTAGGTATAGATTAGTTTTTGTGCTAGACTTAAGGTAAAGTCGGTCTTCTTTGGTTTCAAATCTTCACATGTTTCAAAATTCTGAGAAATGTGTCACAAAAACGTATGCTTCATCAGAGGAAACAGTGGCCACTCTGTGTTTCATGTTTTAAAACTAGCATTAACCTGTACATATCACAGAACAAGGTCGTTCAGACATTTAGAGTTGAATTTTGGAAATGTACTTAATTTTATTCACTATATCAAAACCTAAGAATTTATAAATAAATTGTCATAAAAATAAAAATGTTTTGAATGTGTTTGACGCCCTACAACAATGAAAATATTAGCAGTATGTGTCGAGGTGTATTTTGTAAGGGGGAGGGGGGGGGTATATGTGTTTGTGGGGGATTTGGGAGATATTTGGTGGGGGGATCATGTGGGGTGAGTTTTGAGATATTATGTCGTTCCAATGATATTGTTTTATTCCTTAGTTTTGTCTTTCTGTTTGGCCTTAAATAGCTATCCTATTCTATTTTCACACCGTGGTACACTAATTCACTGTTTCTACTGTTTACCTTTATTCCTATCAATAAGATTTACAGTTCTCCACGGCATTAGTATGGTGTTTCTTTTGAGGATGAAAGAGAACGAAAACATTTCAATTGATTCAGTTGGCTACGTCACCAAAAATAACCTTTTATTGAAAACATTGAGAATATCTAATGATAATGTTGAACAGGATGACACGATATACACTATAAACAATATTAAACAGAAAGGGGTATATATTTATGTTCCATGACTTAAATTTACGAGTGAAAACCATGGGACAAAAACGACACCTGTTTGATTGTATAGTAAATTAAATCTTGCATTCATCATCAATGAGAACGCTTTTACATGTTATGTTTACTTGTCGATCATTATTGTGAACACAGATACCTCCACAGAGCTTTACAAAATCAATAAAACCTAGGTTCATGTACCTGTCCTCTTACGAACCGAATAAAAGTCAAGAGAATGAGGCTTGTTTCTCATATTCTCATATACACATAACTGAAAACTACAAAATACAGGTCCTACCACGGACTTAAATAGCTAATCTAATTCCTTGGTCCTACTAAAGAGATTACAAATGTAAAATACACACTATACCTGTCATATGGACTGTCCATAGGAACAGGTTAAGGACATTCCCTTGTTCATGTTGTATTAATCACACTGCAGCTAAATCAAGCATTAAGTCGGTTTAACTTTTTGAAAAATTCGTCCAAGAAATATGACTTTTTTCTGTACATTATCTCAAAGCAATCATTTTAAATCCCAAATCAGTTTAAATTTTTTTTTTATAGTTATGAAAGTATCGCATTAATGCTTCATTTAGCTAACAAAGTTTGATACAAGAAATACAAAATTTTATAACGACCTATGAATAATTCAGTTGATTACATGCCGTATTCTTCTAGGATCCTACAAAATTTCTTACAAAGATTTCTTTCAAAATGTTAATTTTTAATAATGATTAATATCACATCCACTTTTTACTCAAGCAAAACACAAGAATACAATAAATGCACCAGAAGTTGTCTTATGTATCATTTAATTATCTAAAGGGGACCAACAAATATTACTTCGAAAAGCAGTCAGAGGCTTGGCTAATTAAGCAGCATTTGCTGACATTTCTACCTAACTGTAATGGACGTGGTGGGGCTACTCCACGCCCATTACATTTCTACCTAACTGTAATGGACGTTGTGGGTCTACTCCACGCCCTCAGCTCATTGTCAGTGAATGTGGTACAGAAAGTATTCCCACATTGAACATCCAACATTCACCAGTAAAATTAATATCAGTGTTCATACTGGAAATACAATGTGTAGTAACCTGGATACCAATTTGTAGTGACCTGGATACCAATGTGTAGTGTCCTGGATACCAATGTTTGTTGCCGGAGTTAAGTTACGTTCAATCAGGAATCACAACAAAATATGTAAAGTGTCGCTTAACCAATCACAACACACATCACTGTACCCTTAACCAATCACAACCACATATCACTGTACCCTTAACCAATCACATCCACACATTACTGTATACTTAACCAATCACAACCACACATCACTGTACACTCAACCAATTACAACCACACATTACTGTACACTTAACCAATCACAACCACACATCACTGTACACTTAACCAATTACAATCACACGTTACTGTACACTTAACCAATCACAATCACACATCACTGTACACTTAACCAATCACAACCACACCTTACTGTACACTTAACCAATCACAACCATACATCAGTGTACACTTAACCAATCACATCCACACATTACTGCATACTTAACCAATCACAACCACACATCACTGTACACTCAACCAATTACAACCACACATTACTGTACACTTAACCTATCACAACCACACATCACTGTATACTTAACCAATTACAACCACACATCACTGTACACTTAACCAATTACAACCGCACATCAATGTACACTTAACCAATTACAACCGCACATTATTGTACACTTAACCATTTACAACCAGACATCACTTAACACTTAACCAATTACAACCGCACATTATTGTACACTTAACCAATTACAACCACACATCACTGTACACTTAACCAATTACAACCGCACATCACTGTACACTTAACCATTTACAACCGCACATTATTGCACACTTAATCAATTACAGCCACACATCACTGTACACTTAACCAATCACAATCACACATCACTGTACACTTAACCAATCACAACCACACATCACTGTACACTTAACCAATAACAACCACACATCACTGTACACTTAACCAATTACAATCACACATTATTGTACACTTAATCAATTACAACCGCACATTATTGTACACTTAATCAATTACAACCACACATCACTGTACACTTAACCAATTACAACCACACATCACTGTACACTTAACCAATTACAAACACACATCACTGTACACTTAACCAATTACAATCACACATCACTGTACACTTAACCAATCACAATCACACATCACTATACACTTAACCAATTACAATCACACATTATTGTACACTTAACCAATAACAACCACACGTTACTGTACACTTAACCAATCACAACCACACATCACTGTACACTTAACCAATTACAATCACACATCACTGTACACTTAACCAATTACAAACACACATCACTATACACTTAACCAATTACAATCACACATCACTATACACTTAACCAATCACAACCACACATCACTGTACACTTAATCAATAACAACCACACATCACTGTACACTTAACCAATCACAATCACACATCACTATACACTTAACCAATTACAATCACACATCACTATACACTTAACCAATCACAACCACACATTACTGTACACTCAAT